TATTAGATATATATATATATATATAAGGAGAGATTTGTTTATTTTAGGAGTAAGTTTACCTAGACTTACTTTGTTTAGTAACTCATGTTTTACCTTAAATTTTAATGATCCAACCGTTGAATTTAAAATTCCTAATGCATAGATCAAATTTGCAAATTTTTAAAAAAATTAGAAATTATTTGATACTTCATTTCATTAATTCAAATTAACGGATAATCATAAAATCATTTTATACATTAATTTGAATTTATGAAACGAAGTATCAAATAATTTTCAATTTTTTAAAAAATTTGCAAATTTGATTTATGCGTTAAGAATTTTAAATTCAACGGTTAGATTGTTGAAATTTAATATAGAACATGAGTTATTGAACGAAATAAATCTAGGTAGATTTACTTCTAGAATAAACGGATCCCTTCTATATATATATGAATGAATAATTTTAGAGTGATCAATAGTCATTAATTATTAATATTAATAATTATTAATTAGTAATAAATAACATTAATTACAGATAAAATACATTATTATTATATTTATAATTATTATTTAGATGTTATCAAAATACATTTATTATGATTGTTTTAAATCCATAATAAATACATTGATTAAAATAAATATATTAAATTTCATGATATTTTTAACAAAATTATATTAAGAAATTATATATTTATTGCAAAATATAATCAATAAATTTTATAAATTTAAATATTACACGATGTATAAACCAAAACTTATTTAAATCTTAAATAAATATTTTTTTTTATAAATTCTACAAATTATATATCATTTGAAATGAGTCACAAGACTAATTTAATGATTGATAAATTTAATTTTTAAATAACTATAATTGATTTAGTATGTTATAATCTCATATTTGTAATTATATTAAATCATTATTATATATAAAATATATGAATGATAGGTACAATTTTAAATTATATATATATATATATATATATATATAATGTTTTCATTTGTTTTAATTATTAATCATATTCTTATTTCATGATTACATAGTTAGAAATTGAAGTTCATTTATTGCAAAAATAATATATATATATATATATATATAATTTATATTCAGTAGTATTTTATTTTATATTATTGCAAAAATCTAATAATTAGTTGTAATTATTAAAATATTTTAATTTAATTTTTTCATTAATTTTATTTTTTATAATCAATAGAGAGAGAGAAATGAGAAAGTTTTAGTTCTTGCAAACTTCTTCCTCTTGTATTATTAATAGATTATATTGTTAATAACTTTAAATTAAAAGTAAATTTTATCGACTCAATCATTAAATTATAACTTCATATTACTTGAATATTTATGTCAAATTTTATTGAAATTGAACGACAATAAAAAAGTGATCAAATAATTTATATTTTTAAAATATATATTACATCAATTTTGATTTATACATGAATGATGTTTCAAATAATTTTGAGTCAATATTAAATTTATCGATAAGTTTTGAAAAGAATTATGGATGAATAAGATAATTTTTTAGGCAGATCATAATAGATCAGATAAAAATAATTTATTAATCTATTTAGATTCATTAAAAATTTATATAAAAATGTAATTCATCTAATCCATTTAAAGCAAAAAATCTATCAAATCATTCAATTAACAATTTTTTTATGAATACAATCCATCCATAAAAAGTAATGTTTTAAAGTTAAATAATTTTTATTTTAAAAATATTTTATTTCTCTCTCTCTCTCTCTTATAAGTTATTATATTCTTGTATAATCTTTTAAGATACACAAGACTTTTTTTTATATCAACATAGTATTTTCAAATCTCAATTCATTAAACATCTCATATTATAATTCAATAGATCTTGAAAAAATAGTATATGATCACTAACCAATCATAAAATTAAATGATGAATTAAATCTGATTCATTATTTATTATGTTAGATGAATTTATTTATGTATGGATTAGATGAATGAAAAATAAATATCACTAAAAATTACACCGGTATAATTTGCTTTCTCTTTATATATA